TTCTTTGAAAGGATTAATAAAATTGACAAACCATTCACTCCTGTGGGTCCTGTTCAAGCATCATTATCTTTTACATTACCTTTCTTGACCATTGACAACACAGAATTAATTTTCTGTAGCATTTTATTCATATCTCTAATATAATATCTATCCTATATTAAAACTAACTTGTGAACTTTTTAAGGACAGGATCTAGCTAGATCTTAATAATTTCAGTATTCTAATTGTATTGAGCTCTGGTGGAGCCTTAGGCATTTGACTACTGAGCAGAGGGCTGGAAGTGCAAACCCACCAGCTGCTCTGTGGAAGGAAGATGGGGCAACCTATTTCTGTGAAGATTTATCACCTCAGAAACCCAATAAGGGTTGCTATGAGTTGGAATCAACTCGATAGCATTGGGGTTCTTTTTGTTGTTGTTGGGTGGTGTAATGGTTAAAGCATTTGGCTGCTAACCAAAAGGTTGGCAGTTCAAACCCACCAACTACTCTGTGAGAGAAAAATGAGACAGTCTGTTTCTATAAATATTTCAGTGTTGGAAACTATGGGGCAGTTCTGTTTTGTCTTAAAGGGTAGCTGTAGGTTGGAATCAGTTTGATGGCAGTGGGTTTGGTTTGGGTTTTAGGTCATTATTCAGCAGAGTACCTAGAATATAGTAGAAATTTCATAATTACTTGCAGGATTAATAGATTGAAAGTAAACTAATGAAAACTCTCAGCCCCCAGGGAGCCTGCAGAGCTGCCACTTTGTTTTGTGAACAGCATATTTACAAGGTGGCTAAGAACTTCATTTCTGGAATCGGGCAGACCTATTTTTCCTCAGCTGTGAAATGATGCTAATGTGTGGCTGTCAGAATTAAATGTAAAGCACGTATCATAGTCCCTGGTATATTGTAATAATTTTTATTAAATGTATTATTTATAATTAATAGTAATACTCTAAGTAGTATTTATGTTCTGTAGTAAAAAATGAAGTACAAGAGTAGAGTGTACTGAAATGACCTTTTTTAATGAAGAGAGTTCTGTCTTAACCAAGTTAATCGTATCTTACCCACATCTACCCACCCATTGCCATAAAGTCAATTCCAACTCAGTGACCTATAGGATTTCTAAGACTGCAAATTTTTACAGAAGTTGATTGTCTCATCTTCCTCCTGTAGGGCAGCTGGTGGGTTTGAACTGCTGACCTTCTGGTTAGCAGCCAAATGCCTTAACCACTGCACCACAAGGGCTCTTCCTTACCAACAACAGTGACTATCAGTTGACTTCCATCTCCTTTTTACTTACAGAATGGAAAAGGAGTAACTTTTTTTTCTTTTCTGTTATCTATTTTTTTAAAAAATTGTTACTACTTTGATTATTCATTTTACTCTTTGTAAAAACTGAGTTTTAAGATAGGACTACTTTCCCCGCCCCCCCCCGCCCCCACCAAAAGGTGAACTTGAACAGTAGGAAAAGTTAAAGCCAGAATAAAGATAAAGATAAAGGTAATAAAATGGTGTCTGGATTATGGGTCTGGGGAAAGTAGAATCTAAAAGCAAGGTTCTGATTTCATTTAATAGTTGATCCAGTAGTTATTGTTCCCTTACTCTATGCTGGCCCTGGTAGGGCATGGGGGATGGGAAGGACCATCAGAATTGTTGAAGGCATAGTTTCTTTCTGCAAGGACTTTTAATTTAAAAAAGTTTTGAAATAATTGTAAATTTGCATAAAATGGTAAGAAAGAATGCAGAGAGATCCCTAATACATCACTGCAAGGATTTTAAAGTGTTAATGATGAAGATAAGACAGTTCCTTGCTTAACTGGTATGAAAGTGCAGGTGGAAAACACTTTATGAATTTTAAAAAGGTGAGATTACTCTGCTGTAGCTGCAGCCACTAAAAGAGGTTTCATGCAGAGTTTAGTATTTAAGACAAACCTTGAAGGATGAGTAGAATTGTCTTAGATTGAGAATGGAAGGAGAAAATGAGGTAAGCCAAGATCCAGGTAAAAGGGAGGACATGTGTCATTCCACAGAATAGTGGTAGCAATCTAGACTTTTAACGTGCAGACTTCTAGAAGTTGGTTCTTTCTTGTCTCAAGTTTTTAGAACTCAAGTACTAGGGCTTATTGTTTAATCCCAGGCCTAATTGTTACATTTTTGGTTTTTGATACAGAATACACTGATTCTTCTGAGAGTCTGACTTACTGAAAAAGTGTTTCTTGTGTTTTTAGAATGACATTAGAGAACGGCAGCGTCATGAACATAATGAGAGGCGGCGGCGGGGCAATCCTGAGCCATTATCCAATGGACAAGCCCAGGGTAACACCCGGCAGGTGGTGGAACAAGATGAAGAAGAAGATGAGGAGCTGACGTTGAAATACGGTGCCAAGCATGTGATCATGCTCTTTGTCCCAGTGACTCTCTGCATGGTGGTGGTCGTGGCCACCATCAAATCAGTCAGCTTTTATACCCGCAAGGATGGGCAGCTGTATGTATGAGCATTTTGTTTTATTGTTCTCAAGACCACTGTGATTTTGTTTATAGTGTGTCATCATTACCTTGAAGACTTCTGCACTAAAGAGGCACGAGGGCTCAAGAGTCTGTCCTCTCTCATGGCCAGAAGCAGTTGAAAGAGGGAGGGGTTATTTATTACTTGATGCTCTCAGGGGAGAAAATGAAGGGTGTACAGTTATTTTTCCTAGGTGGTATCACTAGATAGACCTTAATTTATTTGGAATTGAGCAGATAAAGAATTGGATAGTGATCTTTTCCACTTGTTGGGCCCATTGTTCTGCCTAAAATGTTCTTTCCTTATATAGCTTTGCTGGGTTAATTCCTGTCATCCCCATTTTGGCTTAAAGATGATTTCCGTAATCCTCCTAATAGAATGAGGTCCTTTCTGGTATTCTTTCTCATAGCGGCCTATTGCTTTTCACTTGTCACAATTTGCAAATATTTATTTGTTTACATTATTTAATGCCTGTTTTCTGTCAGGACACCTTAGCTCTAAGACCAGGCACATCATAAAAAGTTGGTAGGAAGTAATTAAATGAAAGGAAGAATAATTAATGCAAACTGGCATTCTCTGAACTCTTAAAGAGCTGTTGTATAGATTCCCTTGTATCAGCAGTGTCAGACCTTTGTCTATAAGAAAAATGCTTTGATTCAGATGTCATCTAGTTCTATCTCTAGTATTCTCATAGACCTCAAAGAAGAAGACTTTTAGAATTTGAAATTGGGATGTGTCCGAAAAACTGTGTGGTGTCTTGAAAGCCAAGCTTTTAACCTTTTGGGAGACAGACTCAGACAATAAGTGAAGGACAGGGGTTGGAGACAACAGCCAAAAGGGATTGTTATCAGTATAAATCAGGATTAGATTTGTCTATATATTATAGGCAAGAATGAGCAAGCTGTAGACCACAGGCCAAATCTGTTTTTGTCAATAAAGCTTTATTGGAATATGATCATGGTCATTCATTTATATACTACCTATGACTGCTTTCACACTGCAGTGACGGAGTTGAGTATCTGCAGCAGAGACTGTGTGGCTCACAAAGCTTAAAATGTATAAGCTTAAAATGTTATCTGTCCCTTTACAGAAAAAGTTTGTTGACCTCTTTTATAGAAAACAAAAATAACTGATTATGGTAGTTAAGTTTGTGTGTCAACTTGGCTGGGCCTGGTTGAGTAGCTGGGGAGCTGGATTTAGTTACTCCCCATGATGAGGTTGGTAATTAACTCCATGGTGGAATCTGTTGGAGCAGCTGAGTAGCTGTTTTAGGGATGTGGTCTGCTTCCAGTATATAAGAAGCAACTTTAAGGAAGGTCTCCAGCTTATGGCATGCTTGAACCCTGCATGTAAACTGAATTGTTCAGCAGCTTGCATGCTTTGCTGATCTTGGGACTTCCAATGGACTTGAAGTAATGGCCTACCGTGTGGTTTGGTAATATCGGGAGTGGGCCTTTTCCCTTGTTGACCTTGGGTTTGTCAGCCTCAGCAGCTAGCAACTGCCTGTGTGAAGAAATGCCTCTAGCTTCAGTGAGCCAGGAGCAAGAGGCAGAGCTGAAGCCCAAGGTTGAGGGGCTTTCACCCCTAGAGCCTGGCATTTTGAACTTGGACTTTTAACCTCCAAAATTGTAAGAGAATAAACTCCTGTTTGTTAAAGTCACCCCATTTGTGTTTTTTCTGTTAAGAGTGGCACTAAGTAACCAAAACACTGATTTAAATGATAAATTTATTTTATATTTCTCTTACAGAGAAGTACAGAGGTAGGCAGTCTAGATTGGTATGGTGGCTTCACAGTCTTCAAGGACTCAGGCTCCTTTCTTCTTTGGCTTCTGCCCTATAGGGTACTTCAGGGTCAAGGATGACTGCTGGGATCCAGCCTTCTTCCAAGCAGCAGGAAGGAGAAAAGAGTTAGGGAGAGAAGGACATAGGACATGTCTCAGCAGAATCAACTCCTTTCCTAGAAGTTTCTCACAACACATCTTCTCATATCTAATTGGCCTATACTTTGTCTTATGGCCTCACCTAACTATAAGGGAGTCAGAAATGAAGTCTTAGGCTTGGGACTAAAGTCTTATGGGAAAGATCAATCAGTTGGTATAACATAGTTCAGAAAGATAATGTTCTACTTCCTACTTTGATGAGTAACATCTGGGGTCTAAAAACTTGTGAGCAGTAAATTAAGAGTAGTCATTTTCAACTCCATTTATAATGGACTCAAGGTCTTGTTTCAATTTGTCAGAAAGATTCTGAAACTCTCAAAACAGAATTAATTGTAATTTACTTTAACTGTTGTGAAAATAAGAATTTTGAACAGCCATCTAAGATAGAACTATTGGTTTCTACTCATCTGGAGCAAGAGAGAATGGAGAAAACCAAAGAATTGAAGAAGTAACTGGCTTACAGGATGAATAGCCCACATGAGCCAGGGGCGTTTTTAGCCTGATACCAGAAGGACTAGATTGTGCCTGGCTACCACTACTGACCATTCTGACCAAGGACACAATAGAAAGTCCAGGATAGAATGGGAGAAAAATAGAGAACAAAATTTAAATTCCTATAAAAGGCCAGCCTTACTAAACTGATAGAGACTAAAGGAACCCCTGAAACTATTGCACTAAGATACCCTTTGAACTTGGACCAGAAGCCTTTCTGGAAGTTACCCTGAGCGAAAAAATAGACTGGCTTATCAAATAAACAGATCACTAGTGAGAAATGTGCTGCCTTAAACAATCACCTATCCTAAATGGTCATAATTTACCCAAAAGTAAAGATGAAAAGCCAGGAAGGGCGGGCAGAAAAGCTAGGTCAATGGAAACAGAACAGAGTGGACATAGTGCTGACACACTGAAAATTACAACCAATGGCATGGGACAGTTTGTGTAAAAATTGTTAAGTGGGAACCTGATTTACAGTGTGTACTCTCACCTAAAACACAGTAAAATATTTTTAGAAAAGAAAGAAAGTCTTTTAACTGAGACCATTGGCACCTGGAATAAAAGTGTTTTTTTATATGAATGAAAAACAAGGGACAGGTAGATACATGACATTATCTCAAGATAACTCCAGTTGCTATCACCCTGCAGTTGCGAGACAATAATTAGAAGCCATATTATCTCTGCTGACAACCACCTGTAGCCAGGTAGCTTGTGTGGCAGAATCTGGTTCTTTAACAATCACTAATAAGCTGTGGAGAAAGAACATTTGGTGAAGTAATTATTGCAATATAAAGCATCCACTAGATGGAGCTAGTGCTTGGCTCACATGTAAGTCCACTTCTCGATATTTTAGATATTTCCTTATATTTTGAAGCAGTTAATTAGAGAACAGCTATTTTCCTTAGGCTAAAAATTCTTGACTAGAAAAAGGTAACTTCAAAGGTAGTAGTTGAATCAAAGGAAAACAAAACTCTGGTGTTCAAAAAGGATACGTGGTTTAGAAGATCTGTTAATACTTACCTGGGGCTTCATGTTTTGTTTTGTTATAGAATTTATACACCATTCACAGAAGACACTGAGACTGTGGGCCAAAGAGCCCTGCATTCAATTCTGAATGCTGCCATCATGATCAGCGTCATTGTTGTCATGACTATCCTCCTGGTGGTTCTGTACAAATACAGGTGCTATAAGGTGAGCGTGAGACACAGAGAGCTTTGTTCATTTTATGATTGGCTTTTCCTGTCACAGGTAACTTACTTGGTCTGGTAAAGAAAGAGGTCTGATGTTCTAGGGTTAAAGTTAATTTTTAGTTTTTCCTCCTGTTATTATGGAAGGTTTTGAAAATATCAAAAGACATAAATGAAAATTAAGAGTTTTCATATACTATCACAATCTAAGCAGTTTTAACATTTGGTTTACAGTAGACTTAAGACATTCCAAAGAGATATATCCTCATCCCCTCATAGAATATAGTTTTCCCTATAAAAAGAAATGTAACTATGAGGAGGAAGTGAGGAGGGGAGCTGTTGCGTTGTGGGAAATTATAGTCAATATCATGAGACAAAGTGTATGTGAGCTGCTATATAGAAAGTGAATTTGCTCTGTAAACTTTCACCCAAATCACAATAAAAAATAATATGTATATTGTTTTGTATTCAGTATGAAAATCTGAATTTTTTTAGTCACATATATATATGTATGGGAGCTCTGGTAGTTAGTGCCTAAGACACTTGACTGCTAACCAGAAGGCTAGCTGTTCAAACCCACCAGCCACTCCTCGGATGGAAGATGAGGCAATCTACTTCCCTAGTGATACTGCCTTGGAAACCCAAGGAGGGGTCGCTATGAGTTGGGTCCGACTCGACGGCACATTACAACAACAACAACAACATATATGTGTGTGTGTGTGTGTGTGTGTGATATATATGAAAAATATTTTAGAAATATTTTAGTCATATACATATATGACTAAAAAAATTTTCATCCTGAGTACAGAACAATATATCCACCCTCAGCTGCTGGTGTTAAAATCATTGTGTCCCATGTCCGCATTTCTAAGCTGTGCCTACCCAGTCTCTCCTGCAATAGCAGCAGTCCTTTCTTGGAAAATGGGGATGGGATAGGTTATATAGGAAAGACAGACCCACCCGCACTCTCAGCCTCTCCTCCCCTAGGTCATTTAGGTAAGTGACTCACTCCTGAATTTCAGCCATTCTGCTACCTCGCACATGTTTCAGACTATGCCCCAAAAGAATTATAAATTATAAGTCATGGGCCAGACCTTTAGGGTTATTCTCAAGTAACAAAAATGTAAATGTCAATTTTTCAAATGTTATGTGCCGTCAAGTTGGACTCGACCCATAGCGACCCCTCCTTGGGTTTCCGAGGCAGTATCACTACGGAAGTAGATAGCCCCATTTTCCTTCCGAGGAGGGGCTGGTTAGCAGTCTAGTGCCTTAGGCGCTATGCTATCAGAGCTCCCAAATTCTATTTCCTTCCAGTGTTTATTTCTAAACATGGTTAAAATAAAATGTATAATCAATGTGTGTCGTTTCTTAGCTTTTACTTTGGCATAAGTATTTTTCCATGTTTTAAATTCTTAAAAAATATTTCTAGTGGCTACATAATATTTGATTCAAAGGGTATATTGTAATTTACTTTTCCTGATGTTCAATGTTTAAGTTGTTTCCAGTTTTTTATTATTATAAAAAAAACAGTGAATGTCTTCATGTATAGAGCTGTTTTAATTTTTCCAGTTATTTCCTTAGGGTAAAATCCTAGACATGGAATTTCTGGGGCAAATTGTAGGCATGTTTTTAACTCTTGGTATACAGAATTTGCTTTTCAAAAGGTTGTATCAGTTTATACTTAACACCAGTAGTGAATGAGATTATCTGTCTCACCCCATCTTTACCAACATTGAAAATTTTTTTAATCTGCGCAGACTTTTATAGGCAAATCAAAATGTCTTTATTTCCATTTAGTTGATTATTAGCAAGATTGAATACATTTTCATTGCTTACAAACTCTAACATTACGGAGTTTAACCGTGCTGTTTGTTGAACCTTTGAGTGGGTGGAGGCGTTAATCTAAGTGATGATCATCTGTAATCTGACATGAGTCAGCATCTGGAGAACATGAAGACGAAAGGTGTGTGTGGTGATGGGTATCATCAACGCTCAGAAGCCAAAGGGCAAGTGCTGTAAAGTCATGCTGGGAAGCATTGCTCACCCCCATTTTACATATGCTCATGCCTGAATAATTTTTCTGTGTCTTTTATCTTACTGGTTATATTTTTATCTGTATATATCTTTTGTTGCCACCAGTTTCATTTTTCTGCTTTATTAGACTTACTTTGTGACTTTTATCTAAATTATATACTACTTTGTTCTTCTGTTTCTTTTTTAGATGTCAGTGAGGGGGTAGACTCCTACTTTTCTTTTTTATCATCTAGAATTTTGTAGCATAGTGCTTAAGGCACTTGACTGCTAACCAGAAGGCTGACAGTTTAAACCTGCCAGCCACTCCTTGGAAGGAAGGTCAGGCAATCTACTTCCGTAGTGATACTACTTCGGAAACCCAAGGAGGGGTCACTATGAGTTGGGTCTGACTCAACAGCACATTACAACAGCAACAACAGAATTTACTTCAGATTTCCTGCTTTTTCTTTGCAAAATGCCATTGTAATTGAATGCATGGAGCTCTGGTCTCAGGATTGTTACCTGAGTTCTGTTTCCCAGAGGCCTTAGGAAATTATTTAATTTCTCTGTGTTTTCTGTGAAGGGAAGGCATTGTCTCTAAACTACTACTTCTTATCTCTGCTTTTGAGTCTATATGGGTTGTCTCAGTCTTGGGCAGTGATATGTAGAGGACAAACTGGAGATAGACAGAGCTAGATTTACTTCCTAAATTGATCACTTTCTGGTTTATGACCTTGGCAGGTTTCTCTGTGCACATTAATGGGATAAGAAAAAGGAGGGATAATAGTTAAGCTCACAACAGCTTCATTATGAGGATTAAGTGAAGTAGTATAATGTCGCTGGCACAGTGCTTGACACAAATAGGTCTTTTTTTTTTTTTTTTAATTTTATTGTGATTTGGGTGAAAGTCTGCAGAGCAAATTCACTTTTTATACAGCAGCTCACATACACTTTGTCTCATGACATTGACTGCAATTTCCCACAGTGCAATAGCTCCCCTCCCACTTCTCCCTGTAGTTACTTCTTCCCTGTGTCCTTCCCTCCCATGCATTCCTGTCCCCACGGAGCTGTCTCCCTGTGATACACAGCCCTTCTATTCTCCCATGATTGATTTCTCCAAGGAGTGCATCTACCTTATGTAAATGTTCAGCTCACATGCCTGTCTTTTGTTTGGCTGGAAGCCACAAAAGTGGATTCAATTCCAGACCTGAAGGGCAGCTAGGGGCCATAGTCTTAGGGGTTTCAGCAGGCAAACCTGGTTCTTTTTTTTTTTTTTAAATGATTTTTGAGTTTGTTCCACATTATTCTCCCACTCTATGTAGGATCTCCTACAGAGATCCCCTTCCAAGTGGTTGACAGTGGTAGCTGGGTACCATCTTCTGGTCTCAAAGTTGTATAGATTCAGGATCACTTGGTGTACCAGTCGCTTGGTCTAATTGTTTCCATGAGTCTTTGATTTTCTTCATTCTTCTTTGCTCTGGATGAGAAGAGACCCATCGTTGCATCTAGATGGCTTCTTGCAAGCTTTTAAGATCCCAGTCGCCACTCACCAAAGTAGGATGTGGAACAGTGTTTTGGGTAGTATGTTATACCAGTTGAGTTTGATGTCCCCTATGACCATGGTCCCAAGCCCACAACTCCAACTACTTGCTCCTTCTAGGTAGCTGGATGTGGCCAAGAAGTGACTACAACCTTGTCCCTTGTCAGCTCTACTAACAAATAGGTCTTCAACAAATGCTTTTCTCCTTTATCCTTTCCCCCAGCAAAAGCTATTACTTGACCCTGCTACTATCCCATTTCTTTTCCCCCTGGCTAAGTTCTTTAAATAAAGACTTTGTACCAGCATGTCCCGCATTTCTTTCTTAACATTAGTAGTAATTGATTATACTTGTTTAGTACTTACTTTGCACCAGACACTGTTCTAAGTATTTTATATGCCTTGTATCATTTAATCTTCACACCAGCTATATGATGTAGGCCCTGCTTTTATCCCAGTTTTACAGATGGAGAACTGCGGCAGGGACCAAGTAGCAGGACAGGGACAGAAGTGAAACGATGGCTATTGGATCCACTTTCTGAGGACTACAACTCCTCTAGTCTGAGAAGAAGGGTCCACTCTCTCTAAATTTTAGACTACTACTGCCCCCAATGTTGTGACCACTGGATTGTTTGGGAGCTTGGTGTGAGAGAAAGAAGAAAAAGAAAAATAGGATTTCTGCCCTCTTTCTGAGCGTTAGGGGACCCGTTTGCTATTCCTCAAGCCAGAACTAGAGGGCTTCTCATATCTAAATTTTCTCACTGATGTCTACTGTGAGCTTTGGGTTGAGGTCAGATTGGGGTATCAAACTAAACCAAACACTGCCATTGAGTTGATCTGACTCATAGTGACAGTAGAGGACAAAGTAGAACTGCCCCTTAGGGTTTCTTAGGCTGTAAATCTTTACAGAAGCAGATTGCCTCATCCTTCTTCCGTGGGGCAGCTGGTGAGTTCGAACCACCAACCCTTTGGTTAAATGTTTTAACCACTACGCCACCAGAGCTCTTTAGGTTGGGGGATACAACCCATCTGCCTGTATTACTTTTGGAATCCTCAACTAGCTGCTCTGTGCATTCTATCCAGGTTTTATAGTTGTATTCATTGGGAGAGACAGGCTGGAATGTGCTTACTCCATCTTACCAGGAACTTACCTTGAGAGGTTTCTGGTCACTTTGTGCCCCTTTTAGTTATGCTTCTTTTTGTTGTTGTTGTTGTTATGTGCTGTCAAGTCAGCCCTGATTCATAGCAACCCCTCCTTGGGTTTCCTTGGCAGTATCGCTACAGAAGTAGGATTGCCCAACCTTCCTTCCGAGGAGTGGCTGGTGGGTTTGAACCGCCAGCCTTCTGGTTAGCAGTCAAGTGCCTTAGGCACTATGCTACCAGGGCTCCTATGCTTCATTTTAGACAACCTAAAAAGTTTGTGTTCGAGCCAGAATCCCATACTTGTTCAGTTGTTTTTTGTTTCAGATGTTCAAGTCTTAGCAAGCACAGCCAATCCTATAGAAACAAGTTGTTTATTTTGACTTCTAGTAGGAAATAAAAGGAGCTCTTGAGTCAGAAGTTCAGAAACTTGCTGAGACCTGTTTGGAATACTCAGGACCTGAATATTTGTCATGGCAGTGGTTGGTTGTACAGTGTCTATGAAAAGTGTAAGAAACTAAAAGAGCAGACAGTCCCAAGAAGGTAGAAACAGAAGAAGCAGTTCATTGTTACATACTATTTATTATAGATAGAACCGTAACCTTAAAAAATTACATAATTTTTGGTAGTTAAGGCTTTAGAGGAGAACCTCACTGTATCCCTTGACGTGACACCCTTTACTCTCAGAGCCTTTATTTAGCACAGGAGAGCTGAATTAGGGAGTCCTGTTTTCTAAAAAAGGAGGGATACTGTTTAGTCATCATTAGACAAGGCTTTGAAGTCATTCAGATAAAATGATGAGATAAATGAGCAACCAAACTAGGAGAAATACTTAAACCAGTATTACAGGCAAGGAATTAATATTTTTATGATATTGAGAGCACTTGTAAATCATTAAGAAAATTGTGAACATTCTATTAGGAAAACAGTCAAAAAACCTAAGCAGAGAAATTATTGCAGGAAATATAGATAGCCAGGAAATAAATAGATCAGTAGATTGATAGATAAATGTATGTGTGTGAATTACTTCACTAGTAAAAAGAAGATGCATATTAAAAAAAAAAAAAAATTAACGTATTTGGACAGTTGACTTGGTAATGATTAATCTAGCCTTTTTTTTGTGAAGTAACTAAGTCAGTATGTATGAATAAGAAGTAATTAGGAAAAGTTTGTACTCTTTGATTCAATAATTTCACTTTTATGACTTAACCCCAAGAAAGAGTTAGAAATGCAGAAATATATTTGTACCACATATTCATCCTAGCATTAATTATAAAGGGGGAGGGGGGGACAACCTAAATTCCAATGTTCTATGAATAAGGCAAAGGTTAAATTATGAGTTTTCCATATGAATAGAATATTATTTAGTCATTTAAAAATCTTATTTTCCAAAAATATCTGGCAGCATGAGAATGTCTGTAATGAAAGACTAAATTTTAAGTAGCAGAATGTAAAATTGTACTGCTTGATTCTAATTATGTTTTCATTTTTTAAGGTTTATATAGAATGTGTTAATTATGTTGATACTTTTCTTCCTCCCCCCTCCAGGTTATCCATGCCTGGCTTATTATTTCATCTTTGCTGTTGCTCTTCTTTTTCTCCTTCATTTATTTGGGGTGAGTGGTGTAATATATGATTTATTTTTCAGAACTTAACTGTTTGGGCTCTGTAACTGTTGCTGTACTATAACTGTTACATGTACTTTCTTGATACATTACTCTCGGTTATAACTGTTTCCAAATATGGATCCTACTTGGTATGTAAGCCAAATTAATATTTAGTCTTTGCTTATACAAAATAAGGAGCTCTGGTAGCATAGTGCCTAAGGCACTTGACCGCTAACCAGAAGGCTGGCGGTTCAAATCCACCAGCCACTCCTCAGAAGAAAGGTTGGGCAATCTACTTCTGTAGTGATACTGCCTCGGAAACCCAAGGAGGGGTCGCTATGAATCAGGTCTGACTCAATGGCAAATAACAACAACAGTATCCTAAATAGAATTGAAAGAACTCAAGACTGTGGTTAATTTTAATTCTCATAAGATAAATGCCAATTCTAGGTATCAGGTTACAAAGCTCAAATAGTTTGATAATATTGTAAGCTGGAAAGGACACAGGGAAATAAACACTCACAGATTGGTGCATAACTTTTAAGAGTAATTTGATAACAAGAACAGATATATGCACGTCGATGTTCATCGCAGCACTATTTACAATAGCCAAAACTTGGAAACAACCTAGATGTCCAACAACTGAGGAATGGATAACCAAACTTTGGTACATTCACATAATGGAATACTATGCAACGCTAAAGAATAATGTAGAATCTGCAAAACACCGCATAACGTGGATGAACTTGGAGGACATTATGCTGAGCGAAATAAGTCAGTCACAAAAGGACAAATATTGTATTAGTCCGTTATTGTGAAAGTTAAGGAAAGGTTTATATATTGGAGGACATTTTCTTTGTTGGTTACCAGGGGTGGGAGGGAAGGGGAGGGAATGCTGTTAGATAGATAGAGATAAATATTGATTTGGGTGAAGAGAAGGGCAATGTACCAAATGTGAGTGACCAGTATGGCAGCATTGAGGATGAGAAAGACAGAGAGAGTTACATGGGCAGTACAAACAACAAATATGAACCCCTTTGCATATACAATACTGAGTTGTCAATGAAAGCAAACATGGGTATAGGGACGGATAGATGGGTGAACAAGCTAAACAATTATGTATGTCTAAATGGAGAGTGTATCCAAGATCATGTACAGGGTTGGCAGACAATGGGCCTATAAGTTCATGTGAATGATCAGAATTCCCAGGTGTATAGTAGAGCTGACAAGGGGCAAGGTTATGGTCATTACTTGGTCACAGCCAGCTACCCAGAGGGACCGAGTAGTTGATCCTGCGGGCTTGGGACCATAGTCGCAGGGGACATGAAACTCAATTGGCATAACATACTATACAAAACATTGTTCCACCTCCTACTTTGGCAAGTAGTGACTGGGACCTTAAAAGCTAGGAAGCTGCCATCTAGATGCAACAACGGGTCTCTCCTCGTCAAGAAGAAAGAAGAAAACCAAAATTAATGGAAACAATCAGTCCTAGCAACTGGTACACCATCCGATCTGCAACCTATACAACTATGAGACCAGAAGAACTAGATGGTGCCCAGCTACCACTGCCATCCACTTGGAAGGGATGTAGAAGATCCTGCATAAAGAGGGAGAACAATGTGGTACAAAACTCAAAATCATTTGGAGGCAAAAAAAAGAAAAAAGAAAAAAAAAAAAGAAGAAGGTGGGGACCAGGTTTGCTGGTCCAATGGAGCCTGGTGTAACCACTGAGACTATGGCCCCTAGCTGCCCTTGAGGTCTGGAATTGAACCCACAACTGTGGTTTCCAGCCAAACAAAGTACAGGCATGTGAGTTAAACATTTACCTCAAGTAGACACACGCCCTGGAGAGAACAATCATGGGAGAAGGAAGGGCTGCTTATGCACAGGGAGATAGCTCAGGGTGCAGAAGAGTATGAAGGGATGGACACTGGGAGGAGGTAACTATGGGGAGGAAGTGGGAGGGGAGCTGCTGCATTGTAAATTTTGGTCAATGACGTGAGACAAAGTGTATGTGAACTGCTGTATGAAAAGTGAATTTACTCTGTAAATCTTCACCCAAATCCTAATAAAAAAAAAGAAAAAAAGAGTAATTTGGCATGTCTGTTAAGATTTTAAATGCAAATTTCCACAACCCAGTAGTTTATGGGAATAATCATTGCAACATTGTTTCTGGTAAGAAAAGTATGGAATCAAGCTTAAATGTCTTATCATTATATAACTGATTCATTGAAAAGAATGATTTGAAAAGTTCTCCATGAATATTGTTAAGAAGAAAAAGCCTGGTGGTTGTTATTGTTAGGTGCATTGAGTCAGTTCTGTCTCATAGAGATCCCATGTGACAGACTGGAACTTCTTCATAGGGTTTCCTGGACTGTGATCTTTATGGGAGCAGATTGCCACAGGAGCAGTCTGCCTACTGTGAAGCCACCAGGTGGTTCCAACTGCTAAACTTTCAGTTAGCACTCCAGTGCTTGACCATTTGTGTTATGAAGGTACAAGCAGTATATATACTAACATAAATAATAGTATCATTTGTGCCATACACATTATGTGTGTAGACGATCTCTGGAGGGATACACATGAAATTACCAATAGTGGTTTGTTCTAGAATGGGGAACTGTGGGACAGGGCAAAGGAGGGAAACTTACTGAATACTATCAATTCAGATACTGATATGCTTAATACAAATAGCTAGATTGTCCAGAAAGTTTATTTTATTTTGGAATTTCAAAGGGAAGAGGGTTCATCTTTCTGCAGTAGTGCCCACTGCCCCAGGTTTTCTCTACATTGGGTGCTTTCTTTCTCCTTGGTTACCCAGGGCATTTTTTTACTTGTAATCTCTTTATTTTTAGATGATGGTATTTTTTTCTTTTGTCAGAATTAAAACTTTTCTTTCTTCACAATCAAAATGATAAACATACATTGTAAAAATATAAATATAAATTTTATAAGATTATAAAGAAGTGAAATGACCTGCTTCCCACCATAGAGATAATAAATACTGTCATCTGTTTAGAAATTATTCTGTCAATCTCTTGCTCTCCCTTTTTACATGCTATTTCACATAGATGACATCTTTAATTTTTTAGGCAACAGTATCCCATGGCTAGCTATTAATTAATGTATATATGTGTATATGGTATGTGTATTTGGCTTTGCTGAATGTCACTGTATGAAAATAACATCATTTATGTCCTAGTTATAAAACTTATTGGTGTGTATTTAACTTTTTCCAATTTCAAATATTTTAAACTAGGGCTTCACAAATATAGTCTGGTTTGTGATCTTTTAGTTTTTAAAAATCATGTGCTTGGGTTTTTTTTACAGTTATGGAATATGATATTGGCTTCCCATTTATGTGAATGTTACAGAGTTTCCTGTTAAAATAAGCTTAATTTGAGTAAAAACAAAAGTGAATTGATTTAAAGAAAAGTGTTAAGTATGCAGTAGCACAGTTGATATTGGATAAGATAAAAATATGAAAGAAGGATATGAATAGCTAATGTTTGGAAGCCATCGTTCTAAACAATATTTTGGTACATATCTTTGTTTAATTTTTGCAGGGAAGTGTTTAAAACGTATAATGTTGCTGTGGACTACATCACCGTTGCACTCCTGATCTGGAATTTCGGCGTGGTGGGGATGATCTCCATCCACTGGAAAGGCCCGCTTCGACTGCAGCAGGCATATCTAATTATGATCAGTGCCCTTATGGCCCTGGTATTTATCAAGTATCTCCCTGAATGGACGGCATGGCTCATCTTGGCTGTGATTTCAATATATGGTAAAAACTTAAAACTGACATATTGTTCATCACAGAAATGCCTGACTGCTGTGTCTTCCTTTCTTTTTCAGATATCATGAGTTAAGGAAAATGGTAACAGTGACAACCCATAGCCAGTCAGTAAATTATTAGCTATAGTATCTTTTTCACATAAAGATTTCAAAACTTTGGAGATTAAAGTTCTTAAAAGATGTTTTACTGCTGTCCCCAGTTTAACTCAGTGGTGGGTTACTGGAAGGAGCCATGAACTTTTCTGGTCACAAGATTTGTATTCAAATCCCATCTCTACCACATTGACCTTCAGAAAGTGACTCAGGTTCTTTGATCTTCAGTTTTACATTTATAAAAGGTGAACCACACCTCTCAGGATTGGAAGAGTTCAATATATTGAATATATGTTGAAAAGCACTATCAGAGTGCTTGACACGTAAAATAATAAATGTTTAAAATCAAATTAGGTGACCTACTTTTTATAAGGGAGCTGTGGTAGCTAGTGCCTAAGGCACTTGACTGCTAACCAGAAGGCTGGTGGTTCAAACCCACCAGCCACTCATTGGAAGGAAAGTTGGGCAATCTACTTCCGCAGTGATACCGTCTCGGAAACCCAAGGAGGGGTTGCTATGAGTCAGGTCCAACTTGGCATATAACAACAACAACAACAACAACTTTTTATAAGGCAACTTGTGCAGAATTAGTTATTTTAAACATAAAATTTACTTGGGGAGTATGAGATTCATATTCTTTAATAACCAGTGTGGCAAGAGTCCTAAACAGTCAGAATGTATCCCAGCCATTAATAACCAAGGTATGGTACAGGTATGTAGGGATATCACCCCTACATTTAGGCCAAAAAGAGGTCCATTCCCAAAGGTCAGTATATAGTCTATGTATTATGATGAGACAGTGCTCTTTTATCATCATTCAAATGCTTATCACAGTGTCTTGACCTACAGTAAGAAACCTTGTCCCCATTTGATTGACAAAGAAAAAGTCTGTGGAAGTAGAATTGGACTGGTTCTGCCCTGTTTGAGAAATAGACAGAAGTCCATAGACCCAAAGTTATGTCCTCTCTATTCCAGACTTTGATGATGACTTAATGTTATATAATAAAAAGTCACCAGAATCCCACTGTGTAAAGATAAGTACTGTCATCTTTTCAGAAATAAATCTACCAATCTCCTGCTTTCCCTTCTCACACAGTATCTCATAGATGGTTTTTTCCAGGCAACAATGTGTCATGGCTATATTCCATCTGGGTGTGTGTGTGTACATGCTTGAATGTATAGTTTGCAAAATACTCATCTGTTGTATGGCTGTGATTAAGAATGCTAGCCCTGAAGACAGACTGCCTGCGTTCAAATCCAAACTCTTCTATCACTTACTGGTTACATGGCTGCAGACAAGTTACTCAACCCCTAAGTCTCAGTTACTGTGAGGATTAAATTACAAAATACATGTAAAAGATTTAGAGCAGTATCTGTCAACAAAATGGTAGCTGTTATTATTACTTTTTTTATGTAATCTTGTGAAGTAAGCAAAGCAGTTGTTATTCTTATTTTACTGCTAACAAACCCAAGGTTTGTAGAAGTAATTTGCCCAAACGTACATTATTTAATCTAGAATCTAAATCCCAAGTCCAGTATTTTTTCTACTGCACTACACTGCTTCTACCATTAATCCTTTATTTCTTCCACACATAATATAAATGCTTTTCTCTACAGAACTTTGAATTCCTTTTAAATAAGAGATCTTTATATCTAATAATTAAGAGTAGTAATTTTCGACTCAGTTTTGATTTGTCACAAAGATTCTAAAACTCTGAAAACAAAATTAATTGTAATTTACTTTAACTATTGTGAAAGTGAAAGCATTTTGAGCAACCATCTAAAATAAAACTCTTGGTCTATACTCATCTGGAACAAAAGAGATCAAAGGAAACTCTGGTGGTTTAAGTTTGTTTGTCAACTTGGCTGGGCCTGGTTGAGTGGCTAGGCAGTTGGATGTGGTATTCCCCATGATGAGACTTGTAATTAACTCTATGGTGGAATCTTTCGGAGCAGCTGAGTAGCTGCTTTGGGTATGTGGTCTGCTTCCCATATATAAGAAACAGCTTTGGGAATGGTCTTTAGCTTATGGCTTGAACCCTGCAGGTACCTGTGTTGTTGTTCAGCAGCCTGCCATGCTCTGCCAACCTTGGGACTTTCAGTGGACTTGAATCAATGGCCTGCCATGTGGTTTGGTAACGTCAGTGTGTTAGACTGGGTTCTCTAGAGAAACAAAAACCAGTAAAGCTTATATATATGTATATATATAGAGAAATTTATCTTAGGAAAATGGCTCACACAGTTATAGAAGCTGGCAAGTCCAAAGTTTCTGGATCAAACGTCAAGCTGGAGGCTGTTCCTGGCTCTTGCAACCACAGGGGCTGAGGAGCTCAAGGCTGGCAGGCAGTATACCAGCTATTGACTCCCAACGAATGACAAATCCAAGATCTCCAGGCTGACTGGTGGACTGTTCACTCACGGACAATTGTAGGCAGCACAATAGAATCCCGATCCACAGAAGAATGTCCCTCTTCCCAGGATGTCCTTGGATATACTGGAAGCAGGCCACACCCTTAAGGACACTCCCCTTCAGCAGATTGGCCACTCAGAACATAGTCATGTGATCCCATCATGGGAACAACCACACCACAACAGCTCAAACCACACAGAATTGTGGTCCAGCCAAGTTGACACACAGCTCCAACTATCACAGTTGGGACTGTGCCTTTTTTATTTGTCAACTTTGGACTTGTCAGCCTGAGCAGCCAGCCGCTGTCTGAGTGAAGAAAAGCCTCCAGCTCCAGTGGGCCGGGAGCAGGAGGCAGAGCTGAAGCCCAAGGTTGAGGGGCTTTCACCCAGCCCCTAGAGCCTGGCACTTTGAACTCAAAGCCTCCAAACTGTAAGAGAATAAATTCCTGTTTGTTAAAGCCATCTCATTTGTAGTATATTCTTGTCAGAGCAGTACTACGTAACCAGAACAGAAACCAAAGACTCAAGAAACTCATCCACGGGATGGATAGGCCACACGAATCATGGACTCTTCTAGCCCAAGACCAGAACTCGATGGTGCCTGGCTGCCACTGCTGAGCGTTCCGATCAGGGAGACAATAGAAGGTCCGGGATAGAATGGGAGAAAAATGGGGAGCAAAATTAAAATTCCTAAAAGAGGCCAGACTTCCTGGACTGATAGAGGCTAGAGGAACCTTGGAGACTATTGCCCTTTGAATTTAGAACTGACACTTCTAGAGGGCTCCTTTCAGCCCAAGTAATAGATTGGTTTATAAAATGAGCACCTGTGAGCAGTGTGCTCCCTTAAATAATCAGCTATATGATGAGACCAAAAGGTCAGCATTTCCCCAAAAGCCAAGATGAGAAGGCAGTGAGGGAAAGCGAAGCTGGTCAGTGGAAACATAACAAACAATGGAAACAATGAGAATGCAGACACGTTGTGTAAATTGTAACAAATGTCATGGAATAATTTGTATACAAACTGTTAAATGGGAACCAGTTTGCTGTATAAACTTCCACCTAGACAAAATGTTTTTTAAAATTAGCAATTCTGGAAATAGGAGGATTGTGTCTTAAAACCAAAATGGTTACGTGATGTGTCGAAAATCTCAGTATTTCAGAGCAAGACACATTTCTCTCCCCTCATTCCAGCAAATCAGAGTGGAAGCTGTGAGAGTAGGATGACTTCATGCGTGTGTGTTTTAATTATTGTTTTTATATTCAAGGACACGTGACCACTGGCAGTATGAGGCTTTTAAATTCAGTGCATCTGAATAACAGTAACATCAACACAAGGTCTCAAGTCTGTCTTCACAAATTTAGCACCCCCCATTCTGTATTTTTTAATATTGCAGGTTACTTTCTACATTTCTGTATTCTGAATTTTCATGACACTGGGAAGATGTTAGAAAAATTGTTGTTGATAGAAAAAGACGGTAGTAGAGCAGGAGTGAAAATAATCTGGATGTACTGCTTCCTTGCTGAGTTGCTGTTTTCGTAAAGTAAACATGGCGTTACTTGCCATCTTCAGCACCACATGTGTTCCAAGACCTGAAGATTTGGGAAATGCTTTTATTTGACAGGAGAACTAAAGAAATACTAAAATTTCTTATGCAAAGAGATGTTAATTACTTTGTTTTATTTAAATTTACTGCTCTCGTATTTCAAGCATTGCAGAAATACTTTTTTTTTGGTAGCAAAATTTATATTACCTGCACCATTTTTATGACAAATAACACCATTTTTTTAGAAAGAGGGGACTTCTCTTCTGTGTTCTTTTGTACTTTGGAAAGTTCCAGCAAATCTGCTCTGTTAAGTTCCTCTGAGTAAAATTTCCGTTCGTAGCTCATAGGTATAAATTGTTTGGAAATGGCTTATTCCCAAATCTGCTTGTAGACTGACTGCTGCTCTCGAGTGGTTTTGTCTTGTCATTGTCCCTCTCTTTCCTTTACACTGGGGAGGCACTGTCGATAAAGCAAGTAACAGTCACACCCACAGTGAAACTTCCATGGATCTTATATTGTGATTTTTGTGTTTTTAGGTTTGCTTTGTTACTCCCCTCCACAAGTTTATCTGCCATTTATTTCATATTCATTCAACTGTTTTTTGTGTCACAAAAAAAGCATCAAACATTTTCCCTTGGTTAATTCCTCCCTAACACACCCATCACCCGTTTACATGTTCAGCCAGTACATTTTACTGAATGTCTTCTCGGTTTTCTGTCTTTTTAGATTTAGTGGCTGTTTTGTGTCCAAAAGGTCCACTTCGTATGCTGGTTGAAACAGCTCAGGAGAGAAATGAAACACTCTTTCCAGCTCTTATTTATTCCTGTAAGTATTTCAGAATGATGTTGAATTAGCAATCACCTTAGAATTCCCAGGAACTCAAACACCTGTAATTGTGGCCATTAGCGTGGTACCTTTTCTCATCTGAAATGCCTGCTAGTGTTAGTATGTGTCCTGCAGATCTCTTTGTTTCCTGCAAATCATTGTCTTGTACCTGATGTTGGTTCAACACAGTTTTCAATATGGGTGGAAAAGAGAAGAAAGAAATACTTGGAGATCGAGGACCCAGTGTCCACACTTGTAATCTTGTTAGTCGAGTTACCAAGCAGTTGTGTGTGTGTGTATAGACTTTTTTTTCTTTTTTTGCAGGTTATATATATTTTGAAGGTGAATCTTACCCTAGTTTGTTGAAAGAGTTGTGCTGTTCTTTCTTCATGTTTGCTTGTTTTTGTTGCCATTCATTGAACATCAGCCTGATCTAATTGTAGAGCACCATGGAGGACAAAAATGCATGACTAAGACTCCTTGCCCTCCCTCATTTGCTTGCGGTTTAGAGGTGTAATAAGAGAAGGATATAAATAAGCAACATCCAAGGCAAAGTGTTAATCACTATGCACAAAGTGCAGAGAGAAGTCAAAAGAGGGAGACAGCAAGTCTGTTTGGGGAACCAGGAAGGCTTCATGAAATCAACAGCATTTAGATTGAACCTTTTAAGGATGATGGGATTTAAACAAGCACAGGTGAAGAGTTGATTCCGGAAGTAGACTCGTTATGAAGAATGGCTTGAAGCGGATAGAAACACGAATATGAAAAGTTTTTAGTCAACTTTCTCGGCTGTTTGTTCTTTAAAAATATCATCCTTTTATATATTAGTAGACTCCTTATTGGTTAAGGGTATTCCGTTTACAAAGGAGTCCTATCTTCAGGAAATGAATGAACACTTTTGTTTATTTTCTGTCTCTTTCTTTCTGACAGAAAAAAATGCACACCAACTCTTTGGGCTAAAGCATTCTCCCCAGTAGTCCCTGGCAGAGGGAGCCCCTTCTGGTCGCTTATCTAAACATGAAACTAACAATTGAGGGAGATCATTTTATGTAAAGCTTTTTTCTTTGATTTCACATTACTTGGTGGGGAGTGTAAAAGTGTATTAGTTTTTAAATCTGCATATTTTCCTATTGATCTAAGTAAGCTATTTGGAGTTAAGGGAAAGGGTGTTTTGTTTGTTTGTTTGTTTTTAAATATACTAATTCATTCAACAAATTAGATTCTGTTCATGATCTTGGCTATCAGGAGTCAGCAGATTTTTGCCGGTAGCCAAATCTGGACTGTGGCCTATTTTTATACAGCCTATAAGGACCTCTGGTGGTGTAGTGCCTAAGGCATTTGACTGCTAACTAAAAGGCTGGTGGTTCAAACTCACCAGCCACTCCTTGGAGGGATGACTGGGCAATTTTCTTCTGTAGAGATTCTGCCTCAGAAGCCCAAGGACTTGGGACCATAGTCGCAGGGGACATCAAGCTCAATTGGCATAACATACTATACAAAACATTGTTCCACCTACTACTTTGGGGAG